CTTTAAAGCTACTTAGAGAACAGTGTTTCCACAAGCTGTAGTTAAGGCCAGTAAATAAATAAATAGTCTCATTAATCACCTCCAGATCAGAGAAGACAGTTGAACACCCTGACAGTTGAGTTGGCATCCCCCTCTTATTACACCGTCACAGACCAATAAACAGCCTCGCCAGCTTCACTCCACCAATCAAACATCTGCCATCTGTAGGTCGTTAGGGACAATTGCGAATCAGATCCCTCACTCACATGGTAGAGGAGGGGAGCGGGCTCCATGCCCGGACCCCCTAATCTCACCAATGGGAATGCAGCTCTCCTTGTAATCCAATTAAAGAAGCGTAAGCGGTTTGTTAGACACTGTGTGTTAATGTAAGCACTATCCAATATACTCTGGGCTGATAACAGCGTGGCTGGGGAGACACTCTGGTCTAGGGAACATAGGGGTGGTATACAGCTGGAGGGGCTGCTGTGGTAATATCAGGATCAGCACATTTTTATGGTATTTGCCTTGGCCTTTTGGAGTCTCATTTGTACCATCTCAAATTGGGCTTGTGAAAGCAGGGTGATAAGCACGCAGAGTGATAATCTGCTTACCTCGGCTTTTTCTCCTCATCAGGCATGGTGATGCATGCAGAGATAGATGGAGGGATAAAGAGCAGGGAAATGTGCCAACAAAGCCATTAAATAGACACACCAACAGGATTACATCTTGGACATTTTGACAGTAAAAGTTTACATGCATACTGGGAATGGACGGTAAAAGGATTGTGAAGGATAAGAGCATTTGATGATCGGCCAAATCACACATTGTGGGATCATTTCAACTTGTATCTTTTCCGTCAGCTTTGGAGAGCGAAAAAATATACCTTTTAAATAACAAACTATGTTAAAGTTCAGTGGTAACATGTAGTAAATATTACTGTGCACTTGTGACTTATCGGCTTTCACCCAATGACTGCTGGGGTTATTCTACACCCTACCTGTGTGGTTTTTATGCATTCAGCTGGTATAGAATCCATCATTACACAACTTAAAACTTAAAACTCCTATTTTTTAAAGGCATCACTGCTGATTTGACAAGAATGCAGTGAACATAAAATAGGCATATTTCACCGCCTAAAGTTTTATAACTGTAAGAAATGCCTGTGCACATTTCTCTAGCATAGGCTACACTTTTCTTTCTCTCAAGCTTCTGATATTCAGTTAGTACACAAAACATTTTGAACAACACATCTTTATTAAAGAATCTTTATTGAATAGAAATTAAAAAGTTTTTTGTGACACTAACATTAACGTTCCTGTATCGAATATTGTACGGAAATAACAATTTCCGTACAATTCTTGACTCAAAATTCTGCAAAGTTCTGTCATTTTTACAAAACTCTTATTTTGTTATAATTACATTTTAAAATTAAAATTACCGTGAGAACTGCAATTAGAACACCTACAAAGACTTGGAGTTCTTTGATTTTCCATTAGAGGAATCCCCACAAATAGGCAACAAAAATAAGAATAGTGATCGAATTTTAATTAAATAGTATCAAGTCCTCCTTGTGGCTGTTGGCTGAAATGAATATCAGTGCAAATATGAATCTTTCAATATGTCTTTTTTTTTTCTCATAACATGCGGCGGAAAGAAACCAACCAATGCTGCTTAATGCTACAGTAATGAATTACATATACACTGGATGCAGTAAGTTGTACAAGTAGCTCGACTTTGGTATATATTTACATATTCAAGCATAAGTGAGAAAATTTATCCAGAAAATTATTCCAGTTGGAGTAATATAGCATTTGGTTAAAAAGACAATTTTTCATTGCATTTACTTTGGTAAGATTAGTTAATCAGACAGACAAAAGAATATAGTTCCATTGAAATATTGGTGAATAACATGAACATAGAATAAATAGATCATTTTATTATGATTATTATTCTTTTATTTATTTTTTTATTATGATTAGAAATAGAAACAGGCTCCATTATCCAAACCCGTACTCTGAGAAGAAATTAAAGATAGAACAGACACATAAGAAATTTTTTTTTTTTAGTTGTGTGTTTATTGTTAAGCCTTCTTCTGTCCTTTGTCCACATCTAGCATTTCCACACCTAAATGTTCCCACTGTGGAATACAAAGTGTAGTTATATTCTATTCATATCTATTCTATACTACTCTATTTTATTCTATGGTAAGAAATTTAGGCCAAGAAACATTTCAAATTGCAATTTTATATCCAGTAATTGTGGGTAATGTACGTATGTTAGACGAGTGCAAAGCATCACCAGCAATAATATATACTGGCCTTAGTACACTAAGCAGATAGCAAAAAAGCATTAAGTTTCGGGTTGTTTCTATGTTTAATAAAATTATAACTCAAACAGGAATGTGGATCTGGCTTTTTTTTTTTTTTTTGCATACTGAATGACTGCAGCTGAGGGTGTGTTTATACTCAGCAAGACAGAAAAAAAATATTACAAGGCCTTTTGATTGAATAACCTTAATAATTTCATCATTTACAAAGAAAATAAATCATATGAAAACGAGGCTAAACTTTAATAAAAGGGTGACAATAAAAGCCTCTGGTGAATATAATTCACTCTGAACTTCCATTAGCACAAAACATATTTATTTAAGCTTTTAAATTACAACATACAGCAACAAAGGTAACTGTGGTGTTACTACTACCATTATACTGAAGTTATTGAATATTTCTGCATGGTACTCTGAATGTGCCCCTTCTCAACAAAACATCAGCGTTCTGATGAACAAATTTATTTAAAGCAACAAACTGCAAACTCTCAAAAAACATTGAGAGTTCAACAAAAATTGAAATGATCTGACTAAAGAAGTATCAATGTAAAAAGATGTAGATAGTCAATTAGATATAATTTTCAAGATTACCTTTGGAAAAGCAAAGAATTACCCATATAGAGTGAGAGATTTAACAATTTATTTCAAAGCAGCTGAAAGCAGAATCATTCAGTCCTCACTTAACTCACCAACATATAAAGATAAATTTGTTTCAAGATTTGTAAAAGTGTTTCAGATTTTGTATTGTTGGTTTGCACTTCCCGGCCACCGTAATACGGCCATAAGAAATCATTGAAACTCCTATTTTGATTGCGTTGACAAAAAAAGCAAAGCTTTAATGAATTGCAAACAATGTTTTACATCATTTAAATACCATGTTAATAAGCCAGCAGAGGTCTAATCAGTTTAAATATGTAAAATGATCAAGTAGAACGGTCCAAATGTCCAAAAGACAAATACTAAAATATTACCGTAATTTTTCACATAATCCTACCCAGTGAATCGCATACAACTTCAATGTCATTATACAGGTACAACCTACAGCAACATTTCCTTTCACTGTGCTTACCACATGAGGGTGTCTCACCCATAATGGCACAAGCAAACAAAAAAAAGGTTTAAGGAAATTATTTTTGCCTCACTTTTTGCTATTTCTGTGACACCCCCTTTGTATTGTGTGACCCTGGGCAGAAAGCCACTTCTTCCATATCAGAACCATGACTGTTGATGACATGAATCTGTTTGTTAACATCAGTGTTTATTTTAGGGTGTATTTATTTAGATATGTTTTTTTTTTTTTTACAATTAAAACAAATTGGAAAAAACAAATGTGCTAACTGATTAAAGCTTTTTTGAATGTCCTTCAGCCTTAATACTACATTTAACACAGCTACATGCATCTTGATTGTGTTAACACTGAAAAAAACATCATGACATGCCATTCTGTCATATTGCCCATCACTAAATTTGTGCAGGTTCCTTTGCTGTATGCACTGATTGCTATTCAGCTCTATTCTCTCTGTAAATGTACGTCCCATCTAAATGGCATGTTCTAGCAGCATTTAATAACTGTAGACTTCTGTTGTTTGCAGTCATTGCAGATGTTAAGATGTTTTCTCACATCCCCATTTCCTTGCACGTGATGTGCGTGTGTGTGGGTGGGGTGGGGGGCCTTAATCATATCTCCTTTTCCCCCCTTTTTTTCTCACAGATGCACCGAATTGAACTTAATTAGATGCTACATCACCTCAGCGAGGGGCTGCATGGCAAATCTTATTAAGAAAAAGCACTGCGTTATTCCAACGCTCGCTGATTCCTTTACATCTTGGCATCTGTGGGAGAAAAGCCCCACTGAGGCGTATTCTCCAGCTCCTGTAACTAATGACGGCATTGCCCAGATCTGACAGTGAGCTGTGTCTGTATATTGTGCTTAATATCATAATAATAATGAGAGCAAATTAGAACAATCAATTTCCATGGCCAGTTGTTGATTGGAGGAGGAGGTGGAAGTGACAGGAGGTGATCCATCATCCTCGGCCAGTCGCATTAAGGAGAACACGGAGGAGCAGGTGGGCTGGGCTGGAGTCCAGCCGCAGCCAATGAGAAGGAGTGAGAAGGGAGGAAGGGGATCCATTACATCCAAATCAAGCACTAATGTAGCAGTTAAAAGGGTAAAACACAGACCAGAGGAGGGAAGAGAGGAGAGGGGATGACATCTATGAGATGTATGACTTATTTAAGTGGACTCTGGAGTGTGTGTCACATTTCTTTATTTAAATACATCCAGACTCTAACCTTTAAAGAAATCCCCTTTTTTGTCAGGCTTTAATCACTCCACGTTGAGGTGACACTTTAATTCCACAAGGGGTCACTAAAATCTCACTTCCTCACTCTCCCACATACAGTAGAGCACTGTGTGTGTGTGTGTGTGTGTGTGTGTGTGTGTGTGTGTGTGTGTGTGTGTGTGTGTGTGTGTCCTTACATATCTATCCGTGCAGGGTCCCATCGGTGGGAGCACACTCACTGCAGGGGGTCCAAAATCGGAGTGGGGCCCAAAATGCTGGGCCCCACTCCGATTTCAATTCAAATGTGCTCAGCAGCCCCCCCTGATGCTGCCATTGCTTTTTTTTCCATCTCTTAAAATTGGCCGGTATGGTAGCAATAATCGGGTATGTGTGTAAAGGTGTGTGTCCGTCTTCCGCTTTCCACCGGAAGTCAGATGTTACACTTCCCGCGATGTTGGATACACACCGCGCGAATTGGAAACTTTTGGCCAATCAAATCGCTGCACTGACAACACGGAAGGAACGTACACAAGTAACAGAAGAGTCAAGCCAGACAACGATAAAGTGATTGAAAATCGGTGAGTAGTTTACATTTCTCTGCCTCTGCATTCAACAGGTCGAGTCCGTGAGTTTTTTTTACACAACAGCATTATTTCATATTACTGTTAGCATTTAGTTTCTGGGGTTACAATAGTAGGAAGCTAGCGCGAAGCTAGCGCGAAGCTAACGCAGCTTCTGGCTTTTTTTGTAAATATAAATTTTATTAAGCAAAATTTTCAAATGCATACAAGAGAAGTGATATAAGTAAACAATTATGTCACGTTACATTTGTTGCTAAGACGCCGTTTTGGGTGGAAAAGGCGTAGTGTAAACAACCAAGATAAGTCTTTACAGTTAACATAAGCCTGAAAACAGGGGCGGATTTGAGAAAAAATAAAAGAAGAAAATAGAAAGATAAGGGGCAACTACATACCAAGGGGATCTATTACAAAACAATTCAAGAAAAGATTAACTCATTCAGAACAGAAGTTGTAGTTTGAACATATAGAAAAATATAGTTTTCACTGCCTTCTTGTTGAAAGTTGTTTTGATTGTATTGATATATGAAATAAACAATACTAGGGACAGCGGCTTCTGCTGGGAGAATTTACATTTGTGTAAAAGGCCATAATGATAAATAAGTTGATGACATGAGCCCTTTGTTCTATCCCCTTATCATATTTTAGAAATCCTAAAACTACATATTCAAAAGACAGTAAAAAAAACCTTCCAATAAATTGTCAGTAATGAACTTGGAAACATCTTTCCAAAACCTTTTGCTGTATGAGCAATTCCAAAATAAATGGGATTCAGGATATGCAGAGCAGAAACTGTAATAAAAAAAAAGTTATACTGGGTAGTATTTGTGTAAAATTTTAAATGAGTATATTCTACTTTTGGGACGGAAATGAAAATGGAAAACAAATTCATTGCAGCTCATAAGATCCCCATCTGGAGAAATAAGCTGATTTAATAGAATAATACCTTGGTCAAACCATTCCTGAGAGACAGAGAGCTCAATTCGTTGCAGCAGTTCCAGTGGCTCGCTGGCTAATGGCACGCCGTATTACTGGCCGGAGCCACTGAATTATTTTGTCATGTTTTTTGATTGCTGTTCTTTGGTATTTAATTATTTTTTGGGTATTTTTCTGGCCGTTTTTCGGCAAATGCCTTAGTTATAGTACTTCTAACTAGATTGTTTTATATATTTATATATATATATATATATATATATATAGTGATGTTATCGCTTAATAACCTGTATTAAAATGTACTCTTTATATGTTTTGTTTTTTTGATTGTGATGTTATTGCTTAATAAACTGCATTAAAACTTTTATACGGTCACATTTACTTGATGGAACGGAGTAGTTTATCTGCCTATAAGTGGCCTCGGCCGGCAGCAGCCGCCATCAGCCTCTCCGATGTCAGGCTGTGCCGGCAGCAGCCAGCATCAGCCTCTCCGAACGGCAAGCTCTGCCGGCAGCAGCCACAGTGGAACAAATGCACCAGGGGACCAGGAGGGTGCCAGCGTGTTTTCATGGGGGCACAGAAAAGCATGAAATAAAAAACAGGGCAAGGGATTTAAATATATTAAAAGAACTGTATGAAGTGAAATTTCTTTTCAATTAGGTTCAATAAAAATTCTATTTCTTATGAGGTCAATATACATTCATAATTTAGGAATTTTATATATTTATTTACTTAAGTTAAAATTACCATTTTCTATTAATTCTGAATTAGAACTCAGAAATACTGATAAATTCAGCTATAAAAATCAGAGTACCTTTTTTATTTGTTTAGAAAAAAAAACATTTAGCAGATGAAAAATGGGATCCTATCTCAATACGACTGAAGCTATCACCTTACTGTTTTTAAATAATTAGTAAAGGAAAAAAATGAAATAGATCCAAAGGACCTATTAGTAACCAAGTCTGTTCCAGCGCATATCATCATTAGAATTTCTTATAAGCATTTTTTCTTCAGTACAGGGGCCAGGACATGATTTACAGGGGCACTGGCTCCCATTGGCCCCTGTCTAGAACCGCCCAGCAGCAGCCACCATCAGCCTCTCCGATGTCAGGCTGTGCCGGCAGCAGCCACTACGCAGCCACCATGATGACAGTCCGGCTGTCCTGTCAGTAGGCTTCCCGAGCGACGCCCAGGTTTACTGACACCGTTTTGGTGGCTGCAGCAGCCGGTTTTTGTTAAATAACTTAATAATACCTTATTATTTCATTCATTTATTTATTTATTTATTATTTTTTGTTCTTGCCTTTTTTTTGGCAAATAACTTATTTATAGTATCTCTAAGTAGAAGGTTTTTTTTTAAATATTGTGATGTTATTGTAATGTATCCTTAAAAACAGTAAGGTGATAGCTTCAGTCGTATTGAGATAGGATCCCATTTTTCCGTAAAAATTCAAAAAATATCCACTGGACTTGGTTTTCAAGATTTGAAGACGTTTCGTCACCTCTCCAGGAAGCTTTCTCAATTCTTCTCAATTCTTCTTTCCTGGAGAGGTGGCGAAACGTCTTCAAATCTTGAAAACCAAGTCCAGTGGATATTTTTCGAATTTTTACGGAATGACTATGACCTGGATGACTGAGAACCTTCATCAGCGATCCAATTTTTCATCTGCTAAATGTTTTTTTTCTAAACAAAAAAAAAAGGTACTCTGATTTTTTATAGCTGAATTTATCAGTTTTTCTGAGTTCTAATTCAGATTTAATAGAAAATGGCAATTTTAACTTAAGTAAATAAATATATAAAATTCCTAAATTATGAATGTATATTGACCTCATAAGAAATAGAATTTTTATTGAACCTAATTGAAAAGAAATTTCCCTTCATGCAGTTCTCTTAATATATTTAAATCCCTTGCCCTGTTTTTTATTTCATGCTTTTCTGTGCCCCCATGAAAACACGCTGGCACCCTCCTGGTCCCCTGGTGCATTTGTTCCACTGTGGCTGCTGCCGGCAGAGCTTGCCGTTCGGAGAGGCTGATGCTGGCTGCTGCCGGCACAGCCTGACATCGGAGAGGCTGATGGCGGCTGCTGCCGGCCGAGGCCACTTATAGGCAGATAAACTACTCCGTTCCATCAAGTAAATGTGATCGTATAAAAGTTTTAATGCAGTTTATTAAGCAATAACATCACAATAAAAAAAAAAAAAACACATAAAGAGTACATTTTAATACAGGTTATTAAGCGATAACATCACTATCTATATATATATATATATATATTTTTTTTTTAATCAGGCGAATATGAAAACTGTTCTCCCTCATTTTTATCAACACGTGGATTTTGCTACTCGTGGAGAGAACACTCTGGACTTAGTTTATACAAACATAAAAGACGCATTCAGAGCAGCCCCCCGCCCCCACATCGGTCCTCAGCCCCCTTTCTGTGATGAAAATTCCTGAAAAGGGACCCCTGCAAACAGAAAAAAAACCTACAGTGAAAGAGGTGAGGGTCTGGAGGAGGGGCCATGGTTTGCACCCCGGGACTGTTTTTGAATGTTTCTAAAAGGGGGACTTTTCCGTTCCCAAAAACCCCCCAAAAGGCCCCTAGAAAAAAAAAAATGGAATTCAAAAAAAGTAAAATGTTGATGAGTCCCCCATGGACTGTTTCACCCTTTCATCAACCCCCTGCATCGAGGCCCGTCAGACACAAAGCCCACACCACCAAACCCAAACCAACGGCCTGGATGACTGAGGGGGTCCGCCACCGTTTAAAAAGCGGAACTCAGCCTTCAAAGTTTTGGTGAAAAAGGGAAAGGGCAGGGAGGACAGCTAAAAGCCCCCCTAAAACCGTGCCATCAGGTTAGAAAAAGGGGGAAACCCAAAAACCAGAAAACCCAGAATTTTTTCCCACGACCCCAAAAAACCCCAGGAGATGTGGAAAGGGGCATGGGGGGCGATCACAGATTTACAACACCCCCCCTGCCCCGGGGGATGAATTTTGATGCTGACTTCCAAAAAGGACTAAAAAAAAAAACCTTTCTTTGGGGGGTTTTGAGGCACTAAAATCGCACCCAGCAGTGAAGGCTTTTTCCCAAACATCAGGAAGGGGGAGGTTCTCTGCCTTGACACGCCGACGTGTGGAAGCCTGAGGGGGTCAACCGGGGAAAAAGGCCCCGGGCCCCGGGAACAACAAAACTGGGCGGGTTTCAAGGAGTTTTGCGGGTTTCAGCTAGGGGTTTGTCCCCCACGGACATTTTTAAACCTCGCGGGGAGCAAGCCCCCAGTGCCGCCATGCTTAAAGGTCTGCCTAAATCTTTCCCAGTGCAAAAAAACCCTCAAGTCCCCCTGCTACAACGATTTGGGCCGTGCAGGGACTCCCCCCCTGATAAAAGTGCTTTAAAAAGGGTGGTAAAAGGAACCCCTCGTTCCAGTCCCCCCCAAAAAAATCGACCCGTTTCCAGTTTGCCTACCGGCAAAACCCGTCCCATTTGGGGACGCCATCTCCCTTGTCTTAAATGACCCGGGCCCACCTGGAGGAGAAAAAAACCCCCAAATTTCCGGTGCTTTTCCCTGGACTTAAGTTCAGCTTTTTAAAACCCCATAATCCCCGCACCGGGTGGAAAAGTTTAAACATCTGGGCTTCAAACACCCCCCTTTCCCAAAACCCTGGAGGGTTTGGACTTCCTCCCCCAACAGCCTCTAGTCAGCCCGGGCGGTCAGAACACCTTTTGATTCATCACCCCGGGCACGGGGCCCCCCCTAAAGGGTTGGTCCTGACCCCCCTGTGTTCCCCCGGGAGGGACTTATGACTGCCCCCCGGTTCACCCCCAATCACAGTGAAGTTTGCGGACAAACCAGGGTTTGGGGGGCCCCATCGGGGACGAAAAACGCCCGGACTACAGGGGAGGGGGGAGCAGTGGGGGGCGGGTTTGCAGTGGAAAACAGTTGCCCTAAAACAAAAAAAAGGAAAAAACAAAAAGGAGTTTCATCGTCGATTCGGGAAAAAAAACCGCCCCCACCATGCCCCACTGCAATAAAACAGCTCAGCTGTGGAGTGTGGTCAGGGGCACAAAGTTCCTGGGGGGAAACCCCGGGGGAAACCCCCTCACCTGGACTGAAAACCACTTCCTTAGTAAAGGGAGGGACGAAGCGCTTGTTTTTTCCCGGGGGATGAGGAGGCCCCCCTCCCCCCGCCCATCCCAACCTTCTACAGAAACACCATAGAGGGGCTTTTCTGAACCAGCTGTCTTCTCGGGGGTGTGGGGGCCCTGCAGAGTTTCTGACTGGAAAAATTTGTGAGGAGGGTGGTGAGGACACCCGGAAAGGGGAATCATTGGGGCTCCCCCTTCCCTCCTTTAAAGGGACATTTCATCCACGGGGCGGGTTTTGCCCCGAGCCCGAAATATCATCAAAGACCCCTCACCCCCCCACCGGACTGTTCTCCTGTTTTCCCCCTCTGGAAAGAGGTTCCGCGGGCATCCGCTGCAGTTTCCCAGGTTGTGCAACAGTTTCTTCCCACTGCCATAGAAGTTAAAACCTTTAAACCCACAACCCGAACTCTGACCTTTTTGCCCCATTATGGGGCTTTCAAATGCTGCTAAAACTTTTAATTTTTACCCCTTTTAAAATTTTGGTTATCTCATTGTTTTTTTTCCCCAATAAGCATTTTTGCAAAAAATGCCTTTTTGGACTAAAACCAAATGCAATTTGGGCCCCCTTTTCTCTTTTTCCTCTGCCCCTGTTCCACTTTGCCCAAACGGGCTGCATTTTTTTGTATTTTTCTAAAACTCGTGCCTTTTGGAAATTTAATGCAACTTTCTAAGCTGTATTGTAACGAAAATTTTCGTTCTGTATGCACCCTGTCCCATAAAAATTTGACAAATAAAGAAGTTAAGTTAATCTAATATTTTATATAAAAAACAATTAGTTAGAAGTATTTAAAAATTAAGGCATTTCCCAAAAACGGCCGGGAATAAAACCCAAAAAAATAAAAAAAATACCAAAAAACAGAAATAAAAAAAACTAATGACAAAATTTAAAATTTCCCCAGGGGCCCCCCGGCCCATTTAATCCCGGCGGGGCCATTTCCCAGCAAAGCCACTGGAACTTTTGAAACAAAGCCTCGACGAGCCATGGGAAAACTGTCCCCGGAATGCTGTATATTTTTATATATATTTATTTTTTTATAATATATATATATATATATATATATATTATATATTTTATAATATTTTATAAAACAATAAAAATTTGGGGTTGTGAATTTGTATATTTTGTGTATATTTAGGGCTGCAACAACGAATCGAAAAAAAATCGCTTTTTAAAAGTTTTGGGCAACTAAAATTTTTAATATCGATTAGTTGTGTTGCGCGATTAATGCTCACCCGCCCCCGCCGTTTTCACACCCACTAGACTAAAAAGGGGGGGAAGGAAAAAAAAATACGGCGGAGCGGACCCAGCCCCCGCAGGTGCAGTGTTCCCCAACTCAGCGACTTTTCAAAAACCCCTCCGGGGGATATTTTTAAAAAAAAAGGACTAGCGCCCAAAATCGGGCCCGATTTTTTTTTGGTTTGTCATTGGGGTTTTGGAGCTCTTACTTTTAAAACCCATGTACCCTTTTCCCCTTACTCTGCCGGGGGGGCGCCTCCCCCACCCAAACCCCGTTCCCCCGCGGGATGTTTCCCCCTCGGGTCCAAAACTGAAAAAATAAAAGCGCGCATGTGCCGGGATTAAAGGGCCCCAACAAATTGGTCCAAAAATTTAAAAAAATTACCCTGCGTTTTTGTAAAGTAAAAAAAAAAGGTCGTAAAGGAAACTTTTGTAAAAAACAAAATAAACAGGGCCCGGAAACCCCACCACTGTTAAAAAATTGCAGAAACCCTGAAAAAAAAAACACTTTGGGGCCCTTCAAATGGGTAAAGAAAAGGCTGATAGCAGGATGAGCAAAACCCATGTTTTTTGGGTTTTTAAAAGTGGGGAAAGTTACTTTTAGTTTCTCAGGTAGCTATTGATGTTTTTCCTTACAGTGTTAGAAGGTTACGGGAAAGTGAAAAGGTTGGCTATTTATTTTACTTTTAATTTAAATTTTGTTTTGGGTTTTTAAGCAGTTTTTTAAAATTTTCTTTATAAATAAACTAACTTGAAAATTAGGGAGGGCAAGGCTTTTAAATTTAAAAGACCCTTAAAAAATTTAGGGAAAAGAAAAGCAGAAAAAAAAACCCAGCAGGTCAGTTATGTATATGCGGGACCCAGTAATTAATTTATGCCACTTTTCCCATGAAAATATTTTCCCCTTTGGAGGATGGGGTTTTTTAACCCCCCCTAGTTCTCTCATTTTTTTTCCCAAATTCCCAATTTAATAATTTAAAATCACGGGGTTTTATTTTTTCTTAGGGTTTCGTTTTTTTCCCCGTAGAAACCCTTTAAACTGCTATACTTTCCTGTTTAAAAGGAGAATCTTCTAGTCAAAAAAAATTTAAATTTTTTGAAATGGGGGGCCCTATTGTTTAAACCCCCTTGGGGCTTTTTAAAAAAAAAAAAAGGGTATTTTTTTTGCACTTTAGGGAAAAAAAGTACCCAAAATTTTTTTGTGGATGAAACAGCTACTTTTTCTCATTTTAAGTTTCGTAGTTTTAACACAAAAAATTTTTTTTTTCATATTGACCAGACAGTTAATGAGAACCCTGTACTTGTGTGTTGTTAGTTCTTTTTAAAAAAGTTTATTTTGGAAAAAAAAGGAGGTTAAATTTAAAAATTTTTTTTTTTTTAAAAAAATTTTTGTTGACCCTAATAAAAATACACATCTGAAATGGCACCCGACGGGAGGTTTTGGGTGTTCATGGAAGATTGCCTCGACTAAATGTTTTACTTTTTTTTAAACAGAGCATTATGTCCACAAGGAGGAGAAGGAAAAAGCCCATAGATGAAGCAAAGACAGATATTCTGTCTTGCACTGACAAGGATGGGTTTATTTCGAGATTCATTGACAGTTGTAAAGGTAAGTGACAGAAGATTCCTTGACACAACTTGTGCATTTCAGAAGCAATTGGTAATATGGGGCCTTTAAAAATAAATGTCATAATTCATGTAGAATTTCTTTTAAAAGCTGGACTTCCTCCTTCAATTCTTTTCTTATTAAAAAACTTTAAAGTTATTTTACATACATCAAGCCTGTGTAGCATCAACTACCATGACCACTGTGCTGTTGTTGAAATCTGTTGAAATGCAGGAGGCCACATGCTCCATCAGAGAAGATGCAGATCTGTCCAGCTTTGAATTTTTTCGCCACAGTAACTATTCGGTCAATTTAAAATTCCCAAATGAACTTGATGAAAATTTGTTTTTTTTTTTTTTTTTTTATTTTTTTTTGGAAGAAAATCTACTCCAAGAAAAAAAAGAAAAAAAAATACAAAACCATCCCGCCCAATTTCGTCTTTAAAAATATTAAATTTACCAGTTAAATGCCCCTTTGGGTTTTGGTTTAGTATAAAAATTTTTTTGGATAAAATGATGTTTTAAAAAGGTTTCCCTTTTTCAGCTAAAAAAACTAGAATCAGCATCATGCAGGGGAAAAAACGGACTTAAGTGTCACAAGGACCCAGTTCTGTCAATAATCAGCCCATTTCATTTGTTGATGGCTTTTTAAATTTTTTTTAAATTTTACAATCAGCAGGACAGATGACTTGCGGGATAAAGGGAAAAACTCCACAATATTACCCTTTCCCGTGCCAAATCTGAAAGGGGCTTTTAACCCCTGAAATTCCAAAAATCAGCCTTTGGGCCCATGTCTGCGTTTGTTTTATATGTCAATTGCTCTTTAAAATTTAAAATTTCAAGAAACTTTTTCAGGATATATTTAATTGTTTTGGTAGTACCTGTGTATATATAAATATTGCTATTTTAGTTCCATGCCTTGCTGCTGCTAAACTGTAATTTCCCAGTTTGGGATCAATACAGTACATCTGTCTGTCAAAAGTCTGAGTTGTATGATGTCCGTATGCTTCATTAGTGTGTTGCCTGCACTAAATGGTACACAGCACTCTCAGGTAAAGGGAACAGAATAGAGCAGACGCGACCTCAATGATACATTGATCTGGATGGGTCAGCATCAAAAACATTAGATGGCCACATAAAGGCTGATCAAAAAAGCAGTTTACCTGTACACTGAGCAACACAACTTGGAGAGTGCTGAGCATTGTCTGCAGGTAATACAATGAGACATAAGAACCTCAACCTCACTTTTAAAGAGTGCTGCATTTCTTTTTGAGTTCCCAGAATTAAATGCTGACTTATTTTATATTACTATAGGAAGAGGAGTTTTTGCCACACACCCCATTGAACCAGGGGACTTCGTCTTGGAGTATTGGGGTAAACTCCTGACACAGGAAGAATGCCGGTCAAGACAATACTCAAAGATTGAAAGCACATTTCTCTTTGACTTTGAGTATCGGAACAATCGCCTGTGGTAAGCATGAATAGATGGATGTTTTGTTAGATAGGATAAATTCTGATTTGACCCCAAAACATGGGTTTAATATTTGAATAATGTTTTAAAAGACACATACTCTTAGGTAGGGATACACGATATAATCGGCCCCCTATCGGTATCGGCCTGTATCGGCCTTAAAACTGAATATCGGACATCGACCACCCCACCGATATTTAACCCGATATTTGATCAGCTTCTGAGTTTCTAAAGTCTAAAAAAAAAAAAATAAATACTACTACTTCTTCTTCCTCAAAAACTTCTTTTTTACAGACTTAAAAACTTCTAAAGATGAGGGAAAAAATATTGATACATTAAAATATCCCAATATCTTCATATGCTGATATATTGCCATTTAAAAACACCATATCAATCTCTTTTACTAATGAAATATTGCTGAATGTCATCGTTATGCTACGAAATCCCCCAAAAATTCACAAAATCTTGCCATATTTTTATATGTTGATATATTGATGCGGTATCGATCTATTTTACTAACAAAATCTCACAAGAATTTGCAAAATATCACGAGAGTTTGTAACAGATCGATGAAATTTCACCAGATTTTGAAAGTAAAATAGATCGATACCGCGTTTTTAAAAATCAATTTGATCAGAAATGGATAACAAAACTGCTATTTTCAATGACTACTTATTTTTGTCCAGCTTTAACATCGGTATCGATATCGGTTATCGGCTACATGAGTTTTAAATAGTGTTGCGCCAATGCCATTTTTGGCCCCGATACCGATACCCGATACCTGGCTGTGCAGTATCGGCCGATACCGATACCATAATAATGTAAAATAATTGCCATCATGGCTTTGTAAAGCTGCTGCCTACCTTTGTGAAGCAGGAAAAAATCTAATACAAAGTGAATCCAGTAGAACTTTGTATTGCCTACCAGGAATGGGTGACAATAGTTGAATAAACTTATGGCTCTCAAAATGGTATCGGTGCCCTATTTGTTGGTACTTACCGATACCACCATTTTAGGGCAGTATCGGGGCCCCGTCCGATACTGGTATCGGTGCAACACTAGTTTTAAATATCGGATATCGGCCAAAATCCCAATATCGTGCATCCCTACTCTTAGGAATTTCTTTTGAAAATGCATCTTTCAATAAAACTTTAAACTACAACAATTTTTCTTATGCTTTTCAGCCTGGATGCATCTGAAGAAGATGGATCTCTCGGACGACTAGTCAATGACAACCACAAAAATCCAAATTGTGCCATGAAAAAAATCATAGTTGACGACAAGCCACTCTTGTGCCTTTTTTCTCTTAAGAAAATAGGAATAGGAGATGAAACTGATTATGACTATGGTAAAGCAAAATGGCCTTGGCGTACTGAGGTGAGTTGGTTAGATTAGGTGTAGATTTCTTGATTTTTTTATTTTTTACAAAAAACAAATGTTGTATTTCTCTGATATTATCGATGTTTCTAATATTACTCTGGACTATGACAATGTAAATGTGTTGAGTCTTTGATCTGTGATGTGATTTAAGATGAGTTCTTTCTGTGATCCAGGTGAAAAAAACCCAAGCTCCTGCAGCAACAGAAGAAAAGCTATTGAGTGGTAAAGACCAGGTAATGTCACACACACCGTCATGTTTCCAGTCATGTCCTTATGGGGTCCTTCAATTTTCCAAATGCATTCTTTCTGTAGTCCCTCCTTTACACACTCCCTTGTCTCTAGTGTGAGCCATGTGGGGCCCTCCCGTCCAGTTCTTACTGTAACTGTTTTTAAGGCACCATGGCAACACCTGACATGACCTCAGCTGTGATTTTAACATTCATCATTGTGCACTCGCTGAGCTGTTGCATCTTTAAACACAATCTTTGCATTGATCCGATCATAATAGCTGCTGATGAGTCCTAAAGACCATGCTGTGCTCTTGGTTGAAGCACTGTGCTGTTTCAGAAATGTTTGACCGCTAGATGATCTTATTTGCCTGTGAATGTCTCTTCATTCAGTTCTAAATCCATTCTTGTCCTTCTATATTTCAGGTGAAAGGCCTTCAGACTCCTGCAGCAGCAGTTGAGAATGAGACCAGCCCTGTTCCTATGACGTTAAATGATGGACCAATCCCAGATGAGCCCTGCACACAGGTAAAAGTACATTTAAACACATTCATCTATGCTGACTTGTATGCTATGGTGTTCTATTATTAAAGTGGCTCAATGCTTGCATGACTTGAAAGTTATCAGGTGAAGCTATTGAGTGGTAAAGACCAGGTAATGTCACACACACCGTCATGTTTCCAGTCATGTCCTTATGGGGTCCTTCAATTTTCCAAATGCATTCTTTCTGTAGTCCCTCCTTTACACACTCCCTTGTCTCTAGTGTGAGCCATGTGGGGCCCTCCCGTCCAGTTCTTACTGTAACTGTTTTTAAGGCACCATGGTAACACCTGACATGACCTCAGCTGTGATTTTAACATTCATCATTGTGCACTCGCTGAGCTGTAGCATCTTTAAACACAATCTTTGCATTGATCCGATCATAATAGCTGCTGATGAGTCCTAAAGACCATGCTGTGCTCTTGGTTGAAGCACTGTGCTGTTTCAGAAATGTTTGACCGCTAGATGATCTTATTTGCCTGTGAATGTCTCTTCATTCAGTTCTAAATCCATTCTTGTCCTTCTATATTTCAGGTGAAAGGCCTTCAGACTCCTGCAGCAGCAGTTGAGAATGAGACCAGCCCTGTTCCTATGACGTTAAATGATGGACCAATCCCAGATGAGCCCTGCACACAGGTAAAAGTACATTTAAACACATTCATCTATGCTGACTTGTATGCTATGGTGTAGGGATGCACGATATAATCGGCCCCCTATCGGTATCGGCCTTAAAACTGAATATCGGACATCGGCCACCCCACCGATATTTAACCCGATATTTGATCAGCTTCTGAGTTTCTAAAGTCTAAATTAAAAAAAAATAAAATAAAAACGATGTACCAATTTAAGCCCCATCCAGCTCTGCTTGAACCAAGCCCACTTCACGTTTAGACCCCACCCACTTCGAGTATAGATGCAGATAATTTAGATGGTTGAACAGACACAGATAGTGGTGAACTTGCTCATCCCTACTGAGGTACACACCAAACCGTGATTTTTGTGTACCGTTGCAACCCTACAAAAAAGAGAAAAATTGCTTTTAGATGACAGAACATAACAGTTACTGCTTAATTGTTGCGTGGAAAATTATACTGGAAAACTCTGTGAATACAGAATTTTTTTTTGTGTTACTTGTAACTTGTTACGGGTATGACATATTTTATCTATCAAACAGTATTGCTATTTTAAGTGACTAAAATTTTCTTCACAAAAGAAAACCTACAATATTTTGTGTTTTTTGCCTACATAGGAAAGCAAACTGCTGTGAGGAGAAGCTGGACCCCAGACGAGTGTGCTGCAGTGAACACACATTTGAAGAGATTTATCAGAAGAGGTCAAGTTCCTGGTAAAGAAGAGTGTCAGCGCTGTATTGATGCAGAACCTCAAGCTCTCAGAAACAGGGACTGGAAAGCAGTTAAATACTACATTAAAAATCACATTACAGCCCTGAGAAGAAAGGTGTAGTGTGACAGCACCTAATGGAACTGAGGTAAAACCGAAGCATTTGAGGTAGGATCTTAAAATGTTTAATCCTTTATGTGTTCTGTTGTAGAGGTTTGCTCAGGATTTGTTACTGTCCCGTGGCCTACAAATATACACATTTCACATTTCTTATTTTATCTTATTTTTAATTAATTTTTATTACGGGCGCAGGAAATGTTATTTCAAAGGATTTTTTATTTGTTTAAATATCTCTGTATGATGCCTTTTAAATTTGAGTTTTCACTGGAAAAAAAAAAAAAAAACTTAACATGACACTAAGGATGCAGTCCTAAAAAGCATGTAATTTCAGTATTTGTACAACAAAAACTGTTTGGTTTAGATATAAGTTCAGGCTGAGGCTGTTGTTGCCGCATAGCGGCACCGAAAACCCTACTGCATATTTTTGGATTAATCTGTTTGGAAAGGGACTCAGTTTGACAACTGTGGCATAAACTGTTAATGCCAACAATAAAAGTGGTCTTTTCATTTTTGTCAGAAAATTTTATGTGTAGCGTGCTTCTTTTTATGTCTCAAGGCAAATGGAAGGTTTTACATAAACAGTTGTGCTTGAAAGTTTACATCCCCTCCCGTTAAAGAAAAGGTTAAATTCACAATAGTGATTCAAATAAGTAGAAACTGAAAATGGTAAAAAAAAAATTAAGATTATGAAATTATAATTTTATTTTATTTGAATATTGATTTTGAATTTTGTTTGAAAAATAATTTTTAAAAAGTGTCCCAGAGAAATTTAAAGGTTGGAGGGTTGCAGAATGAAAGTATAACATTTCATTAAAAAATTATTTTTAGCTTGATAATAATTATAAAAATATTTACGGCTTTGACAATGGCATTATGTTTACATCTATAAGCCATTGTTGGTTGCCAAATATGATCTCTGTGTGGCAATAGTATGTTTGGCACGGTTGCCAAGCTAGCACAGGGGGAAACAGGGAAGACTGTGAGTCGCAGCTGCTTCAGAGTCCTGGAGGTGTTCCTGAAGAGGAGTGACCTGACAGATTTAGGTTAAGACGACCCATATAAACGTTTTCTAAGCCATCAAAAACATGGAAATGGTGACTTTTCTCCTCGATCGGAAAGCTAGCTTGTTTGCTAACGTGGCTAATGTTAGCTGTGAGTTATAAACTCCTCCGTGTTACTTGTAGGACATGCTGCAGGCTGGTGGTCACTTGCATATCAGCAGCGAGCCTGGGATCCCAGCAGCTGGAGTTGTTTTTCGGCCGTTGCAACTACAACTTAGACACACGTGATCTTGCTGTTCTGCCCGTCTTCCATATTCAACCTTTAAGCAGCTTGTTCATTAACAGTGGACCAACATACCTGTCAACAGGTGTCATCTGATTGACCATTACAGAAAACACCCGATTGCAGTGATTACCTCAAATGGTCAGACTGTATGGCAGAACTGTGCATCATTCCTCATTACAAAAATAACTATTTTAGTCCAAAATGCGGAAACTGGGATTAATAATCAAGGCTGGTCTCAGCATCTGCTAATGGCGACCTTGGGCCCCATAAACACATAAAAACTTGATATGTATGTGTGTATGCGAGTGGACCCCACAAGTTGGCAATGCTAGGAACGGGATCCCACAAGTCGCCAAATGCCTTTTTGGATAAAACTTTAGAAATTTGTTGAACTGAAGTGATTTTAAGGATTGGGATTTTTTTTTAAATCCATCCCTTGTTTTTACAGCAGTGTAGGACCACTGGAAAGGGTGGATCCCATAAAGCACCAAAAAACTGGAGGACCCCACAAAGGGCAAAAACCAGAATGTGTGTGTGTGTGTGTGTGTGTGTGTGTGTGTGTGTGTGTGTGTGTGTGTGTGTGTGTGTGTGTTAAATGTTCAGCAGCTCAGTGAAGCATTTAGATCACAGAATCATGAGCCTTTAGTCGCTGATTTCTCCGCCACTCGCTGCTGACCTTACAGAGAGCACAAGGAGCCAGTAATAGCCGTGATCACAGTTGTGTAAATAAAATAGTCCAGCTGATGACAGTCAGTCACTTCATGGGTTTTAGATGTTGTAATTGAGCCCTGTGACCCTACAACACACACAATAACAGCTTATTCTTTTTCAAAGGAGCTTTGAAGGAATCAAAACAAAATAGAAAAAAAACAGTGAAGCCACAATAATAGAACATCAATGAATGACATCAACGGGACAATGGAAATATAACTGAATGCACAATAGGAACATGATGGTATGGTTTGATAATGGAAGAACAGTGATAGTGTAACAGATGTAACCAATGTAAACATCTATGTACCTGAATTTATGAACAATTGTTTTAGTCTCTGCATGCTTCTTTGTATACATATGTAACTGTGCAGTTATCTAAACCTCCAGGTAAGACTAAGACAAGACTCATCTTCAATTCACCTTACAGTCTTCCCTTTTATCATTCACTGCATTAAACAGATTTCCACTTTTTGTCAGCTTTTGTTGGCGTCTCTCTCGCTCAGCTCCTCTCTTTCCGTCTCTAATCTTATTTCTGCTAAACGATGACATGGGGCGAGCATATTAGATTTAATCAGCAGCCATCAATCACGGCCGCACTTAACACGATCAGCCCCCCAGTTTATTCAGAGTGAACAATAGGGGACAGGCACGTCCCGCCTGCAACAGAGTAAATGAGGAATTTAAATACTGCACAAGAGACTCCTCAGGCTCGGAGGGGGCTGACTGATTAAAGGCCGCAATATCTGCTTTTCTCGGCAGATGATCTGTCAAGTGGATGCAAGAGGAGGTTTATTGAAATAATAGGCTGCGCTAATGTGGGGTTATTCTGACCCAGCAGCTCAAACACACTGGGGACATGTCCATGAAAATGCACACATTCCCATGAAACGCAAACACATGTAAAATCAACACACTGCTTCTCTGTACGTCTTCTCCCCACTCTCTACTATTGATGGGTAATTTATCAAATGACAGCTTGTTCACTGCTGAGAGAAAATTAAATCATGTAGTTCCAGATCCTGATTATGATCTTAAAATGTTCCTCTTGTAAGTTATGGAAAAATTATGTTCGTGAAGCTAACATTTTTTCCCTCTCTGGAGTTTCAGTCAAGATAAGAAGATGGTCACTCAGTTGCATATTATGTGAGACTGATGATTAGAAATAGTGTAATGGAAAAAAAACGGTTGCAAAATGTCAATAAGCAAAAAAACACCCACAAAATAGTCCTGCTGAAAATGCAACACATCCAAACTTGAATAATTGTTTTTCAAAATGTTCGAATCTACCTTGGCTGACATCTTTAACATGGAGCAGTTTCCATTGGATGACAGAGATTTTTCAAATACCCAGATAACCCACCCTAGAAAGAAGCAAGGTCCGCTCAGAAAGCTGGGAAGAAGAATGAAAGAGACAATAATCATGCTCTCTTAATTTGGACCTCCGGGTTTTTCTGGTGCATATGTCTGAAAATATCTGTCCATACACAGCAAACTTTTAACAAGCCAGTGAAAAACTCATCCTATGGAATCTCAGGTTTGACTAAGCTCAGCTTTGGGATCTGCTCTAGAGTCTTCAGTTCCAACTTCAGTTGCATGAGCCAGAAAAAACCTCCATAGTAAGAGCACCAGAACACCCTGGATAAATTGTTCAAACGGGGCTCACAACTAATTAGTGGCATTAAGGTGACCAGAACCTAACAAATGCCCCAAACCTCAATTATCTGTGTTTTTACCCTTTTTTTTTAGTTCACATGCAATAAGTCTATTGTTTAGTTGTTTTTCTCCAGGCACCCTGGTTTCTTCCGACAGTCTAAAAGCAGGACTGTTAAGTTACCTGATGTCTCTGATTTGGCCTTAGGTATGAGTATGTGTGTGTGTGCATGGTTTTGTCTGTGTGGCGCCCTGTGATGGACTGATGACCTGTCCAGCGTTAACCCAGCCTTACATTGCTGGAGATAGGCACTAGCCCCCTATGATCTGTCATGTGAAAAAAGTTTTCAAATATACAGTCCGGTTAAATAACCGGAGATGGATTTCACTCAGTCGGCACTTTATTTTATCTTTGCAAAAAGAGAACAGTTCATCATATGGCCCTTATTGCATGGTAGTCAGCCCTGTTCTAATGCTCTAGTGCATTGGTCTTCAACATTTTCCAGGCTAAGGACCCTCAAACTGATGGCGAGATGGAGCAGGGGCCCCCTAATTATATATATTGTATGAAATTGTGTTATATCAAACTGGTCCACACTCTATTACATATGGAGACATGTAACGAAAGTCATTTCTCCCTGGGATTATTAAAGTATTTCTTATTCCTGGTTGATGGGACAGGTGTTGTGAATGAAATGGTGCCCAGCTTGAAAAAGCTCCTGTTTGACGCTGAATGTTTGCATTAATGACTGAAAGACATCTTCCGACTCCATTTATCTGTTTACTACAGTGTGTTGAATTCATGTTAATGTGGTTAAAGACATTTCAATTAGTGGAAAAAGTTGCAGGGGGCAATATTAAAAAAACAAAGTCTAATTAACCTAAACTTTCGCGACCCCTATGCAGTGCCTGACCCCTTAGGGGTCACGGATAACCTGTTGAAGACCTCCGCTCCAGTGTGCTCCTGCCACCATAGAGTGCTAGTGCTGTTGTTAGTGAGACGTATCGTAACTTGTATTTGCTGAGCAGCGTTGCTGTTAGTGCAATCTCCATCCTAATTTCTTTTTTTCTGTAATATCTCTGTATCTAAGAAACTCTAACTGTCCAGAACCACTTTAAAACATGGCACCTTCTGCTGCACGTCTCTACTGAGCACTTGTCGCTTTAACACGGTTTTATTTCTGGTAGTAAGGAGTAGCCAACCTGGGCTAGCGCTAGCTTAGCATCGCTATGGCTTATCTCTCTCCCACCCTTGACTCTTTTCCAACTTTTACTTCTTCCTCTGTTCTCTCCTGCTCTCTGTGTAGGATGTTCAGTTATTTTTCTGCCTCCTTTAGTGATAATGGTATGTGTAATAAGTGTAGTATTTTTTTCAGCTATGGAGGTGAGGGTGTCAGAGTTAGAATCCAGGCTTGAGGCTGCCGAACATTTAGGAGTTAAACTAGGCCCCCACGTAGAAGTCCTCCAAACGTGCCTGAGCAGTCAGGCGATTGGGTAACGGTATACAGAGGCCAGAACGGGTGACATTGAATCCTACCTGAAACTGCTGGCTAAGGATAAGGTTAAACACAGTAAGATTTATATTCAAGCTGGTGGTAATAACACTTGGTTACGCCGATCAGAAGTCACTAAAATTAGTGTGTGTGTAAGTTTGGCAAAACAATGACGGACTCTGTAATTTTCTCTGGCCTTTATGCAGCAAGAGGGTTATGTGCGCATAAATGAGGCAACTCCTTCTAGTTATTTAAATTTTCACATACCAAGACAATCTTGGTGAGGAGGAGGGGTAGCAACAATCTTTCCGTCTTACTTACTGATTACTCCAAAGGCAGTTAATACTTACAACTCTTTTGAACATTTAACCCTTAGTTTCTCTCATCCAAATTGCAAAGCAAGAAAACCTCTTCTTTTTGTAACTTTGTATTGTCCACCAGGTCCTTACTCTGAATTTTTAGATGAGTTTTCACAGTTCCTATCTGATTTGGTGTTAAATACTGACAGGGTCATCATAGTGGGAGATTTTAACATCCATGCTGACATCGAATGCGATAGCTTAAGAGTATCCTTTAATGCTATCTTAGATGCTATTGGCTTTGTTCAAAATGGAAATAGGCCCACACATTCTCATCTTCATACTTTGGACCTTGTGGTGACATATGACATAGAATGTGAAGAAATAACAGTATTTTCTCACAACCCTGTCCTCTCTGGCCACTTTTTAATAACCTTCAGGATGACTTTACTACAGTTCTCCTCCTCCAAAAGAAGGGTTCACTTTAGCAGATTCTGATCAGATAGTGCAGTTATAAATTTTCAAGAATATGTTTCACTTTCTTTCTCCTCTTTGTCGCTGAGCAGTGCTGCAGTGTGCAAAAGCTTAAACAGTAACATGTTCTGAATAAACCTTGAGAAAGAATCTGGCCTTTTATAGGAAGAAATATGTCTTGTCTACAAACACCACTCACTCAGGCATTGTATGGCATTGCAGGTGATACAGACTGAGTGAAAAACTTTTTAAGTGAGCAAATAGCATAAATCAATATCTGAAATAAGAGAAATCAATTTTTTCTGAAAATAGAGCGCCTTACAGACAAGCAGCAAAAGAAGTATAAATGGCTGGCTGTGCTGGAGTCTCTCAGTGCACATGCACACACAGTGTGAAAACACAGAGGGGCGGTCTGTGAATATTAATACGGCATGAGTGAAAAAAATGTATGGTTTGCATTTGTTAAATTATATCTATTGGTCAATTTTAAGTCCAAAGTCATTGGTGTAAAAGTACAATTCAAATCTCAAGTCTCTGATCATTTATGAATGGCTAAATTCCCCACCTCTGGATTCTGCATCAAGAAAAATGCTGGAGAAATCGGTGTAAAGATAAAAATGTTCATGTGAGGGGAGGGACCAACGCTGTTGCACCATGCTTTACTTCTCAACCATAGAACCTGTTTAAACTAATAATCAATTAGAAAACTTTTCAAAAAGCCCACATGAAAAACTAATCTTCCTGTGTTCAAGGTACAACCAAAGTAGCTGCCCAACTATCCACTGAGACTGAGTTTTCCATGATCAGTTAATAAACTGAATATATTAACAGCACCTGGCTGAAACACACCCTCCTAATCCTATGGGGGCCGCAAGGATCGCATTGTTTATGCGTTGTTTCTAAATTGAAAGTTAAGAATTGTGAGTTTTCTCCAACTGAAATGCAAATACAAAAATCATAAAGAGAGAACCCACGTTTACCCTGACAAGCAGATTGATTAGAACCGAAGAAATGTTTATACAGCAAAACAAAATGTCCTTATTCAACTGGAGGGAGTAATTAACTAAATATACAACAGGTGCAGCAACAGATGAAGACCAGGTGTGAGTGGAGAGCAGAAAGTAAGAAAAACTAAGGAAACAGTCATCATACCATCAGGTATGACCAGGGTGGAGTCAAATGAACAATAGATTTCTACAAACTTGACTAATAACTATAAAATCTGTTGTATATGAAAAAAAACAAAGTTGATATATGTATCAGTGATCACCTAATAATATGGTAAAATGTCTTAAGTAGAACATGTTTTGAGGATGAGTGTGGGTGTTTTAAGTTCACTTGTTTGAATCAGAGGGAAGATGAACTTCTGAACTGATTTGCAGTGCAATCAGAAGGGAGGCATTAAACACCGTAACTAACGCCTTTATGGCGAAGAGCAGGAAGAATGTATACAAAGGATGTCAGATGGTGCTACAGTATAGCTTTATTTCAGTGGGTTTAGTCTCAGGTGGAACAAAACAACATTTCATTATTTAGTTTAGTTTTTAAACTAAAAAAAAAAGAAAATATACCACAACTCTGTAAAGAGGACTTTATAATCAGTCATTTTTTTCTGACGATTAACCTAAATTATAATGCTTTCATGTAATGTAATGGAGATGAGATGAATGGGACTTCTTACTTCTCACTACAAATACAAGTCAGTCATGTTTACACTATTACCGTACCTTCTGTTAGCTGTTGTAAACAAATGGCCATTGTTGTTGCCCCCATTATTCAAGATGCTGCCATCATTCATCAGTGTGGCTCACACCGAATGGAATGAATGGAAAGCATAGAGGTTAGTGCCCCTAAGGTAAAGAAGTCGAGAACTCAGATACAACCTTAAAAAAAAAATACCATAAAGCATGCAGTCCTTTAAGACACTCCATTTTGACTAAAACTAAATCCAAACCAAGCAGGAGTAAATCCAAAAATCCAAACAGGACATGAATCACTGCGAAAATATAATTAGAAAGGCAATTTTCTAGCTAAAGGTGGACTTGTCTTGCTAGTATGCTTCAGATTTGTAATGGAAACTAACAATTAGATATTCTTCAGGACCTTCTGCTAGAGAGCAAAATTAACTATTTGTTGAAGCATGACCTTTGAGTTTTTATATGCCTGCAGCACCTTTGATGTTATGGAGTCTTTTAAGACTTCCTGGAAGTGCCATCAATGAGCTGTAGGAATAATCAAATTGAGCCATAATTGTGATATAAAGTTGCTCTCTCTTGAAAATGAAAAGACTCTAAAGCTATTTTTTTATTACTTAACAAAAAACGTGTAAAAACAAAAAAACAAACACAAAAAGGTGGTAAATACAGGGGTTATATATGCATATTTATAGATAGTATGGCTGCAGCCCTATAACGAAATCATATGAAACCACAAAACTAATATCAGAGAATCTCTATAAGCTTCATATGCATCTGGGCATTCTCTCGTCTAAATGTTTTTTTTTTTTAAACCCAATATATTCAGTGACTTGCTGTGTCTTAAAATCAATGGACACTAAAGATGACCCACAGGGCTCATGTGATCCCTAATGAACCGGATCCAGTGGGACCAATTCATGGCTGGTTTAGGGAAGGATCAGGAGCGTGATAATAAGTTGGTTAATTCCACCCATCGTTCGGACGCGCCTCCTCATGACCACATGAGCAATGGGAGGAATCTACAAATAGGAGAAGTGAGGAGTTTTAACAAGTTCCTTAGATGAGCTTCTCCCCATCTCCATCAAGCTGATTATACCCGAGGAGGAATTATTCATGACATAAATGGCGGAGGAGTTATTAAAAGAAAATGCTGCAAAGATCACTGGGGTGAGCTGAAACCTTTTTTATGCTGATATTTCCCTTACAAAATGAGTCTTTCAATGTGTGAAAGAAACTATACACATGTCTAACATGAACAGAGATGTAATTTTAAATGTTTTTGTCAATAAAAGTACAGTTCTAAAAGAACTACTATACTATGGAGAGGTTTGACTAAAGTAGGGCTGCAACTAACGATTATTTTGATGATCGATTAACCTTTGATAATTTTTTCAATGTATTAATTAATAATCCGTTAGCAAAGGTTCCTTAAAGAAGATTTTCTTTATTAAATTAAACCCAGTGAACTAAAACTGGATCGTTCTGACAGACAAAAACATTTTTTTTAATCTTAAATCCAAAATGTTTATATACTTTTTTTATTTTAATTTAATTTTGGTATAATCACTGCTCTAAGTGGGTTGCTCTTTCAGCTAAAGACATGTTTTAGGGTCTCTGTACTCCAGCTAAAGATTAATCGATAATAAATTAGTTGACGATTATTTCAGTAATTGATTAATCATGACTAATATGATTAATTGTTTCAGCACTAGACTAAAGTAATGCAACATGTGAGGGCTTTAACATTAAATATATAATCTACTGAAGGTGATACTGACTGTTGGGCTTTCTCAGCTCCGGGCTATTTTAATGTCTCTTAACTTTCTCCATTCCCAACTTAGATTTATTTTGAGAACACAGAAGCTAGTATTTTCCCTGCCAACAGTTTTACTCATTTGCACTCAACTGGTGTAAAACAAAGAAAATATCTTCAAAGCATGAATATGATTAAGGGAAACCATGAGAATCCTCTGCATCAGACTCTCAAACAACAACAGAATATCCTCTGTCAGAGGCTTTTTCTGACCCATTGTAAAAAAGACCTCTACAGGAGGTACTTCCTACCTGTAGTAAATAACATCTACAACAAATCATTGAAGAAGCCCATATAATATGAATTGAAACATTTCATTTTTCTTTAGGACTGCATGTTAAATATATCTTAAAGATCTTGGCCTGTTTTATATTTTTCTGAATTCCAAAGATAGTGGAACATTTGATGTGTGTGGGCTTTTTTTTTTTTTTTTTTACCTCAGGAGATGTTAAAGGTATAGTGGAGGATTGTCTTTTTCCGGGGGGATCCTCAAAATAAATGGTCCTTCTTATTGTCAATCATGCTGGTGATATGTTTACGTAAGGCTGTCCTACGTGCTCATCCCCATTTTCACTTACCGGTGTGGTGAGTCTGACATAGTGGAAAAATTGCAAACCTTCTTTTGAAAAGTAAGCTTTTGTGAGCGATGCAAACAACAACTTATAAACAGAGCTTGCATGAGGAGAAATGGGCTTGTGAATGCTCTCGCATCTGTTTAATAGGTGTTCCCTCTCGAGAGCGGGAACAGGATTATGCATGTTATTTTTTTTTTAAGTAAAGAGGGTGGGTCTTTTCAAAAATTCATGAAAATCCTCCACTAAACCTTTAATGAGTACTTGAAAAGCCTTTTTTACCAAATACTTCTTTCTTGTTTGGTTACTCTTTACTCTCGCTAACTAGACATAAAAACATTTCTTGATCATAAAAGCATTGCTTTGTTCCAAAGTTTAGTTTTTCACACCTCTGGGATTGTAAAAGTCACTTGCTTTATTTACCAGTGTCATTCATTAGTTTGAAACTGACAAAGTTTGTCTTTTGTTCTTTTTCTCATTTGCATATTTATTCTCGCCTATTCAGAATCTCACATGGTCATTGTTGGCTGTGGCTTTCTTGGCCTCGTTCGGCAGCTCGATGCTCTATGGCTTCAATTTGGCTGTTGTCAACTCACCTGCTGAGGTTGGTTCAAGCAAATTCTTTCCCCCGTCTAAAACTTAATCTAGATCCTTTTGCTAGGGGGGTATGAGTAATTTAGTGACTCTAAGGTTTTAGACATCTAAGGTGTATCCGATCCTCTAATCAAATAAAGTTGTATTATTATTCTAAATCTATGTAACACTGTCTGTCACGTGCTCCTCATGTGGGTCTGTGCATCAGCTTTAGCATGTCATTGATGTTCTTCACCTCTTAATCCATCATCTGTTCTGTTCTGCTCCTTTGCTGTGGAATTTGCTGCGGTGCAGCAACTAAGCTGTGAGCATTTCTGTTTTGACACGGATAACCCTTTTCTGAAGCAGAAAAACTCCTTTTTATAATGGAGTCATTGGCTTACTGGGGAACCTTTTACATTGCCTTTCTTCAGCTACAAACAATACAGGTTCCTGCAATACAGGATTCCCTGGGAAATACTGTAGAAATGGGAAACCTAAGGGAATTTGATGATACTGATCAGAAATCAGGATAATGACGCTTTGAGGTATAATAATCCCTGTATGGTTTTATTAAATAAGATACGATAATGTTGGGATTTTAATGTCTTTAACAAGCAAACAATATAACTGAGACAACAAAATATGTAAAAACCAATCCATCACAGGAAACCAGGGGTTCCTTATTAAATGCATTGCTGTTTGATGACACCTCAGCTTTTTGAGTATTAAAATATCTATTTAGATATTTTGATAAATGGCCTGTACTTAGTCAGGAGACTTAACCAAAGCACTTTACACTACATTCACACACACACACACACTGACAGTGGCAAGCTACATTGTAGCCACAGCTGCCCTGGGGCTCACTGACAGCAGCGAGGCTGCGGTACACTGGTGCTACTGGGCCGTCTAACCACAATCAGTAGAAAATGCAGGTGAAGTGTCTTGCCCAATGACATGACACTGAAAACCCTTCGTTTTCAGAGAAAGCTCCTATATCAACCCCCCACTGTTGCCCCATGTGTCTCTGATCATGTGGAAATCAGACTAGAGGGACACAAACAAAGAAGTAGAAGGCCCCAATTTTTTTTTTCCTGGCACAAATGAGAGAACATTGTTGATTTTAGACAAGTGATCAAAAATTCATCCTGTAACCTCAGACATTAATCACCATTATTAGGCTTATTTAAAAGGAACTTTTTAAGTTTTGTTTTACAAGTAGAACAAACAGGAAGCAAATTCTTCCTCAAAGAAGCGTAAATTCTTGCATGGGTTAAATGGAACAGTGTTTCATACAATATATGTTAAAGCTGCTAGTTTAAAAAAATAAAATCTAAGCTAGTAATTTTTCTCCCTGCTAAAAAGAATAAAATCAGTAATATTTATGTTGTCTAAATAAATAGCATCCCTAAAGAACAACTAGATTGAGTTTAATTTCTCTTCAGCTAAGTTTGAGCCTTTCATTTATCTAAATATTTATAGAAACTGCTGGGTGGCGTTGTAATGAATATCATTTAGAATAAAGAGATGACACCTTAACCTTTCTTACACATCAAATGTTTTTTGTCTTTATTTTAGGAATTAAATAAATTTGTACTTGAGATTTGTATTCAATTCTTTAAAATGTTAGAAATAAATATGATAGTATTTCTCTTCCACAAGTACATCAAAGCCTTCTACAACGAGACGTTAACTGAGAACCATCACTGGCATCTGGATGAGCATTTCTTGACGGTCTTATATGCCCTAACTGTTTCCATCTTTGCCATCGGTGGGATGACTGGTGCGTTGCTGGTGGGAAGACTTGTCACTAAATATGGAAGGTTAGAGTGGATGCAAATAATTTACTTACATGTTTTGCTTGTATAACAACTCTTGCTTTTTTTTCCTGATTATCAAACACTGCCTAAATTTTTAAAAAGGATGAGCTCTTACAGATAATGTGTTTGAACAGAAAAGGGACACTGGTCAGATCCACCATTCTGGTGTTTATTGGAGGGACTTTGATGGGCTTCAGCAGATGGTTCAGGGATCCCTGGATGGTCATTGCAGGACGTTTCATCACAGGAGTCCATTCAGGTAGGCCTGCCTGCTCAAAAACAGAAAAAAAATATTGCTTTTGTTTATGCCTGCTTGTAAACAATTAGGGTGTTGAACTAAAATCTGAACTAAATTACTGAAGCAATAGAAGACCTCAGGATCAAGAGGTGAAGAGACTTCTGCGTCCAGAGACATACAGAATTAGCTAAAGTGTTTCATTTGTGGGGGAAGAAACAAGCTAACAAAACATACCGGTAAACCAAAAGCAGATAGGAGCTAGGCAGAACCGTATTATAGAGTATTTCTAAAAGAAAAGAGAGGTTTTGCAGCCAGGATGAACTAGAACGTAGTATTGAATTCTTGTTTTCACTTCCAACTATGGAGCCTCTCACAAACCATGAAGTAAAATGTTTACAAGTAAAAGAGTGGGAGCCATTAACTTATTTGACCAAATTGGCAAAGACCAGGATGTCATTAAAGTTACCAAATGCTTTTAACAGTATATTTTATGTTTCCTTTAACTGCTTAGTCTTGTTTTCATAAATTTTACAATGAAAAGAGTTTCCTATACCTGAATTATTTTTTTTTATCTAATATTTTGAATAATTATATATTGTACTGGTAAAAATAAAACCAGAATTTGTTAAAATTTAGTTTGTTTTATTACATTGCTTTCAAATATTTACCAGATTTTATAATGAGTTAATGGTATAGTGGTGGAGGATGTTCTTTATCCGGGTGGATCATCAAAATAAGTGGTCCTCCTAATTGTCAATCATTCTGTTGATATGTTTACGTAAGGCCGTCCTACGTCCTCATCCCCATTTTCACTTACCAGAGGTGAGTCTGACATAGTGGAAAGATTTCAAATCATCTTTTGGAAATTAAACTTGTACGAGCGATGCAAACAAGCACCTTTTAAACAGAGCGTGCAGGAGGAGAAATGGGCTCCTGCATGCTCTCACATGCTTTTGATAGGCATTCCCCCTCGAGAGCAAGTACAGGGTTGTGTATGTGCATTTTTTTTTTTTTTTTTTTTTTGTAGTGGAGAGCACAATTTTCAATCTATGTGAAAATAAAAGTTAAACTTAAGAAGATAATTGATCTCATTTCATTTATCAAAGAATAGAGATCAACAAAATAACATTTTGAAACCCAGACTTTTTTTTTTTTCAGGGATTTCTCTCAGCGTAGTGCCCATGTACCTTGGAGAGATCGCCCCCAAGAACCTTCGAGGGTTTCTAGGTCTCGTTCCCAGTATCCACATCTGCATTGGAGTTTTCATTGCTCAGGTCCTTGGGCTCTCTGAACTGCTGGGAAAGGTACTGAATTTTGTGGAGCGGGGGTGGGGTGGGGGTGGGGGGCTTGGGACGGAAGTTTCTGCAAGACTCATAATGTATCAACACATAAATAAGAAAATATCAGTTTGTTCTTTCAGGCCTAAGAAATTCAAGTAATGTGAACAGCAGCATAGAAAAGCAAAGATGGCCTTAAATACCTATAGTTTTATTAATTCCCTCTGGAGAGGGTTTCATTTGGTTTTACACCATGATTTGCAGAATTTCCTGTACAGACAACAGGAAAGTTACAGGACACTGAAAATGTCTGTCTTTATGTCTACTCACAGGAGGAACATTGGCCCCTGCTCCTCTCCCTTGTCTTGTTTCCTACTTTGGTCCAACTGATGCTGTTGCCCTGGTTTCCCGAGAGTCCAAGATACCTGCTGATAGACAAAGGAAATGTCTACGCAACTGTAAAAGGTTAGATAATCAACCTTTTTTTCATTTCTGTTTTACATGTTATGAAACTTAAAGTGGAATGTAAAATCTCTCGTTCTTTTCCAGCCCTGAAGTATTTCCGTAAAAAGGGAAATATCCAAGCTGAGGTTGAGGAGATGCAGGAGGAGCAAAGGTCACTCTCCTCCGTGAAGACCCTCTCTGTCCGCCGTCTACTCATGGACCGCTCTGTCCGCTGGCAGGTCCTCACCACCATGGTGGTCAACATTGGCATGCAGCTGTCTGGTATTGATGCGGTGAGTGGTAAAAAAAAAAAAAAAAGCTGTAGCTTTATTGTCTTTTTCATTTTGCATGTGCATCATTCTGTGCACTTAATGTGAAAACGAGAGTTCATATTGCCGCAGATCCCAGCTGGGCTCCTTCCTTCTGTCCATACATCACAGAGTCACACAGTACTACACCCGCTGAATAACTATGCTGAGGGCGACATGATCACGGCTCATTATCTCTCTCAGTGTTACCTCACCTAACAAGGTCCACCCATCTGAACGTAAAATAGAGCACATCTTTGTGCTCATTGCTTTGTGTGGATGGAAGCTCCGGGCATGCTGGCTCATAGTGGCATCATCTCCCGGCAGGGGGACTTCCTGCTGGGTCGCTTGGTCCCAGCTGTTCCACAAAGGAAATCTGCAAGGATTCACACGTGCAAATAAATCCACATGCCCAAAACAAAAATTTAGAAAAGAAATTGCATTCAGCATTTCAATTAGTGATTTATCACTTTCCATTGGCATTGAAACAAAAGCTGTACCTGACCTTGTGCAGTAGTATTTAAACTCAGATGTATTTAAGAGTGCCATGGAAAAAGGTGCTGAATAGAAATTGATGCCTTATCTTTCTGATTATTATTTGTAAATGAAATAAGAAAATTATGTTTTTCCATGACATTAAAATCCTAATAACCTTTAATGAGATTTGTGGGTGTATCATGAAAAATTTTTTGGTAACTGTTCGTTGAGGGGTAAAATAAGGAATTCTTCAGTTTTTTGTATGACTAGTTCTAGTTGTTGACATGTAGAGCAATGGGTCAGAGGGCAGCGAGTGTTGCGGATTGAAGTGCAGTGCACACAAACTGTTTTAATCAGTCTCTAACTCATGCAAGTTACACAAAGAAGATTATTTACTCTCAAGTATTGTAAAACTAATATCACATTAAATTATATGAATCAAAATTCTGTTTTGACAACAAAACGAGCTTTAATCTGAATCAAGTGGACTTTCACTCATTGTAAGTCTTTTCTCTTTAACACTTTTGACACCCGCTGTGGAATCTTCAGTTCTTTCAGCTCATACTAGAAATAGCTGGTCCAAGTCCGATGCAAATCAACAACTCACCCATCATTCTTCTGGATACTTGGAGTTTGTTGTTTAAAATAAGTTTTGGTGTTTTGAATTCTGTAAACTCTTCAGAATGAGTTGCAGCAGAAAGCTGTATATGTATGAGAGCTGAAACTGAAATCCTCCCCCTGTGTTAAGTGTTGGCCTGTCTTATTTGACAAAAATTTTTTTTTTTTTACCCCTCTTTCAAACCATCGGTCCTCTCTTTCAAAGATCTAAACTTCTTGGTTTTCAGAGGTGTGTTTGTTTTTTTAGGTGGAAGTATACAGCTAACTGTTTCCCATAGCTGGGCTACACTGAGGGCCACGTAGTAGAAAAGTGGTAACCAAACAAAAGACTGTTTTGGGTATTATCCTTTGTAATGTATGCTCAGTGCTGTTTAAACTGGGTAGGATTTTTTGCAGAACAATCTAAAAACTAAAGACACGATTTAAAGAAATAATTAAACCTCTAGTTTAAACAGTGAATATAAATCCTAGACAGCTTGGAATTATTTTATGCACACAACAACTGTACAAAACGGAAAGACACCAGCAATGACCTAAAAGCCTGTACTTACTTATGGCCTGTATTTATATGGCCGTTCAGGAGACCTGACCAAAGCGCTTTACACTACATTCAGTCATTTAGGCACACACTGATTGTGCTACAGTATGTTGTAGCCACAGCTGCCCTGGGGCTCACTGACAGAAGGAAGGCTAACATACACAGGTGCCACTCGGCCCCATGACCACCTAGCTTGGCAAGCCAGACTGATAGGACACATACACGGCGTATCGGTCTGGAAAGGAGCTTGTAGAGCTCGATATAAAAGGCGGGACTAACAGGATTAACATGGCAAATACAACCTTTTTAAAAAGAAATGACAAGCTGTCTATTGTTGAGTTTTTAAAGTTAGACCATTCTCTGTTAGAACATCAGAAGGGGCATCATTAAAACATTGCTCTGTTGCAGTCACCATCTTGCTGTGAAATTAACAGAAAAGCAATGAGAGTGACGCATCCTCAGTTCCTACTTTCTGTTCTGTGATTGGTCCAGCCAGATCTGGCCGGAATCAATGGCAGGTTATCAGACTGGTTTACAGCCAGCATGTATTACACAGAGTGTAATATAGTTTGAATGCCAAGCTACTAAACAACATCAGTAAGCAATGTGGGTGAAGTGTCTCATCCAAGGACATAACAATATGGAGAGCTTCTAAACTACTTTAATCCATTATAGGGGAGGAAAGGGGTTCACATGTGGGAAAACTTTTGGTAAACTGACCTTTTAGTTTGGTTCCTCAAACAACTGTTGTTTTAGCCATGTTAAAACAAAAATGGATATTACCATATAATACAGGAAGCTTAAAACCATGACAGGTAAAAAGACAAACGTCATGTTTTTTATGCATTAATATCTTTGTAGAGGACCTGCACTGCTCCACACTGTTCCCATTTACAAAAACCTTTTGAAAACTACACATGGTGACATTTTATTCTGTGCGAGCAAACTGTTTTCAAGCATACTCGAATACATATTTCAAAGTTGTAATATTGATGGAATGCAATGCGTACGATTCCTATATCAACAAGACAGGGTTGAACTACACTCTTCACATTTCTGTCCTCACCTCATCAATGATGGATGCTGCACCGGTAAAGTGTGATTGATGAGAACTCACAAATTAATTTCAAGGGGAGCACTTGTCAGCAATCCATGTTCATGAAACGCAGTAACTCAAATGCATAAGTGATGGTTGGACTAATGAAAATGATCAGTATAATGAATCATGTGAAAGCACAAAATGAAAAGACGGGAGTTTTGGCTCCTTAGAAAATGAGATAATCTGATTCTGAGTTTGTAATCAATCAGATTCCTCCGATAAACTTCCTCTTTCTGAATTTCAGATCTGGTTCTACACAAATGACATATTCAGGGATGCAGGAATCCCAGAACACGACATTCAGTACACAACAGTGGGGACTGGTGTCATAGAGGTCATTGCTGGATTGCTTGGGGTGAGAAAACATTTCCCATACATTAATGTGGCATTATTTTGCCTGTAATTGGTTTTATTTTACTGCAAATGTAATGAAATCCTGTAGACTAAAGGTCTTGTTATGGTTCTTTATTTTTTCTTTTGCATAAAGTTACAATTTCCTGATCTGATCTAAACTGTTGCATCCAGATCTCACTTAGGTACGACAGAGTTATTCCGACAGAGTATTCCGAGGTTATGAAAAGTAAAACTGATAAAAATTTTTATCATACAATTTCAGCTGTTTAAAACACTTTTGAGACACCAAGAACGTGCCGAAATGAACAAAGATTTGATTGGCTGTATGGTGTATAGTGGAGGTTGCTGCACACCCCTAGTCAGCTGGTTAAAAGAAGACTTTCTGAATTTATTTAGTTTGGCTGCTATATTGGTCAGGATTTTAGCTTAAAACAACTTGTAGATGAAAAAAGGAGTAAAAGGAGTTAAGTTAATGGATGGAGTTGACAGAAACTTTTCTCAAGTAAGATTAATGATACATTATATATTTACCCAAATTAAAGTAAAAGTACAACGCTATACTACTCGTAAAAGTTTTTTTTTTTAATTACTCAAGTAAATGTAACTGAATAGATGTACTGCGTAAATGTAAATACCCTTGGATTACTAGCCACATATTGTGGCGAAATGTCTAATATGAATTTGACAGGGGATCTGCAAGACACATCAGTGTCTGTTTCTTTATGTGCTATGCAAAATGTTCTTTTTTTTTTTTTTTCTTTAGTGGCTTTTGCAACTGAATAACAAATATATCACTGGTAGACACAGATCATCCTTTGAATACCTTACTTCAGAAAAAACTTATTATGTATGAATCAAGGCGACCTTAACAGCTGATTTATTTGAAGTAAAATAGAAAGAAATAAAGAATAGTAAAATACTTTTGAACAATATGGTACATATAAGAAAACATATGAATCTACAGAAGATATATCCTATAAATGCAAACACTTTCTGCCTTTGTACCTTTTAATTCCACTGATTACATTTATTCACCATCCAATCTTCTTCTTATTTAGATTTTAACTATTGAGCGATTGGGCCGCAGACCTCTTATTTACGGTGGATTCTTCGTCATGGGCCTCTGTTGTGCAGGAATCACAGTGTCAGTCCTGCTCCAGGTACATTTACATAAAAATGTCTCTTAAAACTTGTGTAGAGTTTGCTACATTAGAACCACTGTACGTTTGCTATCAGCTCTGATATCTACTGTCTGCCTCTTTTCTTGCATTGTTTGTGTCTGTAAACATTACCAACACGAGCAAGAAAGTAATTAAGTGTAATATTAAGTGAATGTCAAGGAACACCACATGGTACAAATGATGTTTTTGGTATCCTATAATCAAAATGATTGAGTGCAATTAAATGGATAGTCATTAGAAAATGTGTGAATTGTGTGACTTGGCAGGCGCAGTTGCCCTTCATGAAGTATATCAGCGTTGGCTGTGTTGTGGGGATCATCGCTGGCTTCTGCATAGGTCCAGGTAAAAGGAAACTTCCCTCTTTTCTCTGTTTTCTCAAAGGTCAAGCTGAAGCCATTTAGTCTGCAGATGCAGGCATTGTGTTTAAGGAGACACTCCCTCCTGGTGGAAACTTGTGGAACAGCAGGTTGCAAAGCTGAAGCCTAGTATTCATCCCCCTCCCCTGCAACAGCATGAAGAGATATTGTATTTCATTAGTCTTGTAAATTAGGAAATCCGTGCTGCCACACTGTAGCCATTTAGATGAGACGAGGGAAGAGAATTACGAGGCGTTAGTTTACAACCACGTCGAGCGGACCCATGAGGATGATGAATCGGACCAAATCTGGTGTACATAACGTCATTCATCAGTGCTGCAAAAATCTATAGCACAGAACAAGAAGGAGGATCTCTGTTCAAGCAATTAGACCTTTAATGGCTCATTGTTCACAAGCTTCCCCGTGATGAATACGGTTTCCTTCGAATGAAACCTTGCTCTCACAATGAGACGTTCCTAAACGTAGAGCACATGTTGACAAATGATGGCCTATAGTTATTCATCTGACAGTAATAAACCTCTCTGTCTGCTGTTAGCAGCCAAAGATAATGAGGACATCATTCTGGAGGATGATCATTAGAGCTTTGGCTAAAGCACAATCTAACAAAGAAAAATGTTTAGATTAAAGCCACCCCTCTGATGTAACTTATATTAGTAGAATTCCTTGCCAAGCTTTTTGCAGATACGCCTGCCTCTTCTAGACACTGACAACCATTCTCCTTTCTACGATTCCTCAGTTTTAACAGACAATAAATGAAATACAGGTAGGGAAACAAGTGTAACTTAAAGGAATAGTACACCCAAAACATGATTAGCCTTCATTTTCTACTCACCTCCATGCTGAACAACACTCTGGAGTACTTTTTTGATATCTCAAATGCATCTGGAGATCTGGGAGGCTTCTTGCTGTCTGCTGACATTCAAATAATGGAGGTCCATGGCGCCCGAGACAGAAAGGTCCATAAAAGTCCACAAAAACGTGTCAATATTCCTCCATACTGCTCGTCCAATGTAATCCAAGTGTCCTGAGTGGGTAGCATCCAGAATTTACTCGAAACGAAGTCATTTAGAATGTTTTTAGAGCATAAACAGTAGTGTATAGGATTACCTAATAGCGCCCCCATGCGCGCTCGCGATTCTACGGAAGCCGGCAGACCAAACCAGCGCATTCAGCTCGGCAAAGAACTCATGCTCTTCCTCAACACTGAAGTCCTCAGACATTTTTCTTTCGTTGTTTCTTTCTTTGCACAGGTAAACAGCACATTTCTTCTTCTACGCTTGCATTATCGGCAGACCAGACGCTGAATGCGCACTTTCTTCCGGTTTGGTCTGCCGGCTTCCGTAGAATCGTGAGCGCGCATGGGGGCGCTATTAGGAAATCCTATACACTACTGTTTATGCTCTAAAAACATTCTAAATGACTTCGTTTCGAGTAAATTCTGGATGCTACCCACTCAGGACACTTGGATTACATTGGACGAGCAGTATGGAGGAATATTGACACGTTTTTGTGGACTTTTATGGACCTTTCTGTCTCGGGCGCCATGGACCTCCATTATTTGAATGTCAGCAGACAGCAAGAAGCCTCCCAGATCTCCAGATGCATTTGAGATATCAAAAAAGTACTCCAGAGTGTTGTTCAGCATGGAGGTGAGTAGAAAATGAAGGCTAATCATGTTTTGGGTGTACTATTCCTTTAATAGCACTTTTGCTTTTGTTATATCATCATCTATTCATTTTGAATGAAGGCTATTGAATAGGGGGGTTATTATAAACTACTTGATGAATGAAGTTGCAGGTGTTCATTTTAAAACAGCGTTGGGTAATTAAATTTGATTTGTGGGATGTGAGGAGCCTTGGTTGAATAAAGTCTTTAAAATTATTGAATGTGAAGCAGAATGCTGCAGTTTTTGCCTTCGAAATAAAACAAATAATGCATGTGTGTTGTTTCTTTACAGCCGGTGTGCCTTACCTGATCACAGCAGAGCTCTTCAAGCAGTCTCACCGACCTGCTGCCTATACCATAGCAGGCTGCCTCAGTTGGTTTTCCAACTTCCTCATTGGCTTCGTCTTTCCTTTCCTAGAGGTCAGAAACTGAATCCATTGCATTCTGTTGGCTAATTTTACGTTCTTCTTATAAAGGTTTTTAGCTCTTCATTAATATAGCCACATGCGAAATTTCTATTTGTGCAAACGTTTCCCTTTCAAGTTGATTACTTTTTAAGTAGCCAGAAGGGAATGTTAAAGTTTCAAATATAGTGCCTTAAAAATTGTTCATCCCACTTAGTAAATAATTATCAGATTTTTTTTATTTTTAGGATCTCAGACCTCTGTGTATTTTATTGTGATTTTACAAGGAAGGCTAACACAAAGGGGCACATTAGTTTACAATTACAGAGCTAAAACGCGTAGAAACCATCTTTAGAAGTCATCTAATTACCAAATACAGCCCCATGTGTGAAAAGTAATCTCGTTATAAATCCAGTTGTTCTGCGGGGATCTCAGAGGTTTGTTAGACAACATTAGTGAAAAAACATCTTGACTATTAAATAACACAGCAGACAAACCATTGGGATGGTCATGGGAAGGTTCAAAGCCGAAATAGGTAAGAAAACATAAAAGTTAATGCTTAAAAAAGTTTGTAATCACAGCATTTTTCTATGCATCATCACCTAATGTATGTATGTTGCTGTATGTGTAACACTGTTAACTCACCTGCTGAGGGATAACATGCAGTAACTTCCTGAAACTAAATCTGATGCAAAGCATTTTAAGTTTTTTTTTTTTTTTGCACATAAACTAAATTACGGTAGTCACCCAAGAGAAAGGATATGATATTTCAGGAGGTTTACAGCTTGTAAACCTCCTGAAATGATTATAATCCACTGGTGCTTGTGTTTGTTGTTTTTAATTCGCGTACCTGTGCTGACCATTAATAAACTCTTATTATCAGTATGTGGGTCTTGTCATATTCAGGTCATTATGCTGCTCTGTGCATTATTGCTGCTAAGGTCTTGTTTTACAGGTTTATTCCTATATTTTATTTTCTCATCTCTTAATTCTTGTGTCCTTTTCAGTGGTCTTTCCCTTCACATTTAGTTAATCTTTTTCTGTCTCTTTGATTAGTCTTCCCCCTTTCCTCAGGATAAGAACAAAATAATTGTTTATTTTGCTTTCACTCCATTTATGTCAATTGATAGAGCATTAGAATGTAGAAAATGGCAGTTAATTAGGTGTAAAGTCCTTGCAGCAGAATTTATTTTTGAACCATATATAAAAAAAAACAGAATTTCAATAAATAAAACTAATATTTTATCATCCTAAAATGATAGTCAACATTTTTTGGAAAAATCAGATGAAATTCAAATTTTCCTAGTGAAATTATTTTCTACAAATCTGAAAGCATTTCATAAGTAGGGTTAGGCGTTAGGGTTAGGTTTAGGGTTGTGTGATGTTTTGTCTGACAAGCAGTTTTCTATGTTTTTAAAATCAGCTCCATAACACATTTGAATCATTTTGTGTTGTTCCTTTTCAGGAAGCTACAGGTCCATACTGTTACCTGATCTTCTGCGCGATCTGCTGGGGAGTTGCTTTGTACACCATATTTATCATTCCAGAAACCAAGAACAAAACATTCCTTGAGATCAGCCAAATGTTTAATACCAAAAACAGCATCAGGAAGGAAGAGCCGACACCAAACAGTCATTTGAAACTGGCACTGATGAACGGCTATGGATCGCTCGGGCTCCATGATGAAAACTGAAACATGGAAAGAAGACCACAGCCTCTGTGATGATCCTGTACTAAGCCTATAGGAGTACGATGACCCGCTGCACTCTTTAGATTCTCTCCTCCAAAAGAAAGTCTGAGAGACATTAATATACACACAAGAAAATAAAATATGGGCCTATTTGAAATGGTTTTGTTTATTCTCGTTGTTACATGTGATTATTACTAAGTTTATGTCCATGACAGAGAGGTTACACAGTCATGCATTTCAGCTTTAATGTTAGTCACATTTGCATCAGTTGTTTGCAGTCTCAAGGCTCTTTTGTTTGAACAATGGCAACTTCATAGTATTCATAGTTTATAGCAACTGTGTTAATCGGATTCTTTTAAACACCGCATGATTACTCTGATATAATAGTTTTGTTTGACCTTTATTAGTCAAATTCAATTATTATTTTACCAGTAAACAGGGCATCATGTTAAATATGCAGTAAATATACAGTTCCATAAGTCATTGTGTATTGGACTAAACAAAATGTAACAAGAATATGTTAATTGTGAACATTTTTATGTGATAAGAAAGTAAAACTATGGTTACTTCAAAAAATGTAAAAATTCTTTGGGTTTTATCTGACACTCTATCAGGTGACATATGCAACCTTCAATTGTTTTCTGGGGTTTTTTGATAAATCAATTTAAAGTATTGCATCACTGTTAACTGAAATGATAACATTATTCCGAAATCTTTGCTTAATAATGAAGAGGATGTGTTGTAAATTTATATTTTACCTTCACTGAATCAAAGCTTCAAATTCAACATTTCCTGTATACACATCCACAAGTTTTTTGGTGAATATCTTTAAACGGTTTGCATATTTAGAGCAAAGGTCACAAACCATTTTGAAGCTGAGAGCTGCTTCATGAATAGTTATATTTATTTTTATGGTCCTGCTGAAAGTTAAACCTTCCTTCCATTCTCCTTCGCTGACCAGCTCCCCTGTCCCTGTAGCAGAAAGCATCTCCTCAGCATGGGTCTACAACCAGTGTTGTCACCAGGTCCATTTCTAAAATGTTCTGGAGTTCACCCAAAAACTGGTGATTTTTTTGATATGTAATTGTATTGTATCTTTTCATTTTTTTTGTTCTTACAAATAATTCAATTAGATTTAGTTCATTCATAAAGCACCAATTTACAACATGTCATCTCAAGGTACTTTACAGAGACAATTTTCAACCATATCATACAGTCAGATTGCTTCAAAGTTTTTTATCTAAGGAAAACCAGGTGATTGCATTGAATCATTGGCTGAATTCGATCTCATTGGCTGCATCTTCCAAGAACACGTCTACCTGGAGTGGGTCCTTTGAAGTCTGTGAAAATAAGGAGGCCAGAAGAGTTTTGGCTATGAATTTAAACAGGTCTGTCACCTAGCAACCGTGACAGTTTAAACACAAAGCAGTTAAAGAATGAATACCCAACTTTTCAAAGCTCTTTCTTTTTACTTTTTTTTAATGTTTTTTTATTGTAAAGTGAACAAAGACTACATTCATGAGAATACAGAGAGGAATAAAGGTGACAACCACCTGCAGCATGAACAAATAAAAGCAAATGTAATTATATAAAAGGGGTAGAAAGATATAAGTAAAGCTAAACAACATATCCATAAAAATATATATATATCTGCAAAATCTCTTATATTCTACAACAAAAAATACATCAGTAAATTGTGCAAAATAGCAATTATAAAATAATAATCATATCAGATTTATAGTGCCCACACTGCAGATATATGACAATCCACAGTAACAGATGAAAACCTTTCGATAAATCAAACATTACGGCCACATATCTGACTCAATGACCATTAATAGATATATTTTCATTTATTTCAGAAAGAACTATTCACATACCTGTATTATATTAAACTGCATTTACATTATTCACCACTGTCTGGCGCCAAGTTCTTTTTTCCTCTGAGGACGGAGCAGCCGGCTTGCTTAGTCTCCCAATGAATCCTGGGATATCCGAGGCTACGTAGGCTACACCGGACCCATCCTTCAAATCGTCCAAAAAGAAGGATTCATTTGTCAGCCACATAACGAGGAGTCTTGGAATCCAAACAGACCTCGGTGCCTCGCTATGATGTAATCGGCCAACGAATCTGACCTCCGGAGGACGCAGCCCATGAATTCGAATTCAGCCATTAACTTGAAAACAATCCCTCACACCAAGCATGCTTGTAGCGACAGTGGAGCAGAAAAACTCCCTTTTAACTGGAAAAAATCTCCAGTAGAACCAGGCTCAGTGTGAGCAGCCATCTGCCGAGGCCGACTGGGATTCAAGGAGACAGAACCAGCGATACAAAAGGCAACTGGCATCCAGCTCCACAGGCGGGCCTGTCCATGAAACACACCGCCAGGCAGATGAGCTCCAAGTCAGCTCCCATGTCAGAGGAGGAAGAGAGCACAGACAGTCACAGTCAGAGAAACAGGACCACACTAAAAAACAGGCCAAGCTCCAACATCTATAAACAAAGGTGTTGATGGCAGCAGCACAGCTATTTCTCTCCAGGATGGTGTCACAGCCAAACAGGAACAGACCAGATGAAGCTACTATATTGAGAAAAAAGCAGAGAGATCATGTTAGAGATTTAATTAACAAATACTGTAGAATAAGAGAATAGAGAAAGAATGAAACATTATGATGGAAAGGTGTCCCTATGTCCTCCAGCAGTCTAAGCCTATAGCAGCATAACCTGAGCCCCTCTAATAATAAGCTTTGTCAAAGAGGAAAGTTTAAAGCCTTGCCTTAAAAGTAGACAGGGTGTCTGCTTCAAAGACTGAAACTGGTAGTTGGTTCCACAGGAGAGGAGCCTGATAACTAAAAGATCTGCCTCCCATTCTACTTTTAGAAATTCTAGGAACCACTAGTAAACCTGCAGATTGAGAGTGAAGTGCTCTGTTAGGAACATAAGGAACAATCATATCTCGGATATAAGATGGAGCGTGGACATTTAAGGCTTTATATGTGAGAAGAAGGATTTTAAATTCTATTCTGGATTTAAAAGGAAGTCAATGAAGAGAAGCTAGGATAGGCAAAATGGGATCTCTTTTTTAATTTTCATCTGCTGAAGGCTTCCTGATAGTAAAGAATTACAATAATCCAGCCCTGAAGTAAAACATGCATGGACTAGTTTCTTAATGTAACCCAGGGTAAAAATTGCCCTCAATCAGGCCTTTGCAGCTCCACTAAATAGAGTGACAATCAGTAACAGTGCATTCAGCAAATCACTGCATCAGAAGTGGTTATTCAGGCCTGCTCCAGCTTTCCCAATAGGGTGTGAGAGGGAGAGCTGGAGACAAAGGAGCTACAAGTTTGTCCTTTCAAACAATTAGTTCATCTATTTGTTTTTCATCCACTTTTAAAAACTCACAATCTAAAAACCATGTAGAGCTGAAAACCCAGTGAGCTTGGAGCCATGTTGTCACGCACTGAACTATATATGGAATTGTAGAGCCATGTTGTTGATTTGGTTAGCATGTTGATGGTGGTAGCCAGTTCTAATTGTTTATCAATTGTAACCTGATTTTACCTCTTAAATGCAATGTATGTGTTTAAAGTGGTCATAGAATGATTAGAGAATTTGGCGGTGGTCCTTAAGGTCTCTGAATAGGATGTGTAACATTGGTTGGGCTGAAACTGGCTAAGAGCAAATGAACAGCTGAGCATCAAACTTTGAGGGATCTTCTGATAGACAAAAATAAATAAATAAATAAAATAACATCCCCGAATTGAAGTTAATTCTGTGCTTCGTTTAAATTTGCCCATTTTATGGTGGAAGTTTAGAATCGTGCGATTTGCAGAGAAAGTAGGGGTCGATGGGGTTTGAACTTCTCTATACGTCCATTTCACCCACTGAACTATCGTTATTCATCTATGACAATGTTAACACAGGTTTGCATTCTATGACCCCTTTAAGGTAAGGAAATGCTGAGAACCTGAAATTCACTCCATACTGGTCTGATAAGAGTTTGATGATCTGTAGAATGTCCCCCCATGTCATTATACAGACACACAATTCATGATTCATCTCTTCTCCATTGGAAACAATTTGTGTTTGGACAGTTTCACCTTAAATAACCGAACAATCAAATCATGGACTTTTTAAATGTCTGTTTGTCAGACATTGTGCACATTCTGAGCACATTTATATTAAAGATCAACTGCAATATTAGTGCTGTCAAATGATTTAAAATTTTAATTGCTTAATGTCAACTCGAGATTAATTGCATATTTTATCTTTTTATTTCTGAAAGCGTAAATATGGGCATTTTAGAAATGCAATTTTGCAATAAATGACATGAAAAAAATAATGCTTAACAAAAAGGGTTTTTTTCAATTATTTTTCAAGCACTTTTAAAGCTACAGTGTGTAATTTTCAGCGACATCTAGCGGTCAGACTGCAGACTGCAGCAACATGAACGTCTCCCCCCCACCGCTTCTCCCCCCCAACAGTACGGCGAGCGTTACGGGACAAAATGTCTTCCACGACGTCCGCATCACCTACCTTCTCAAGTGATGAGGTTTGTTTACATAGATAATTTTACAGATAGTATTTCATTAGTCTGTGTATGGTATAGATTTCATGTAGACTTAAGATAATAAATATACCCGTTATTTTTTCTACGTCGTTGTGACGTTTTGGTGAGCTGCTTTGCATGGTGATATAAACAGACGAAGTAATTGTAGTCATTAGTTTAACAGCGAGATTGTGTTCGCTGGAAGAATATATATTCCCCGTTTACAGAGTCCAAGTCTTGTTTGTGGCACGGGGGTTACAAGGCAAGGAAGAGGGAAAGGAAGAGGGCAGAGAGGCCGGGGTGAGCGTGCAGCTGGGGCCAGGCGAGAGAGGGGAGCCAGCGGGGTGAGAGCAGAGGAGGAAAGGCTTGAAGATCTCCAAAGGAGCCGGAGAGAAGTAACCGAGGTATATATCCAGAAAATTATTTTACAGAAAATTACTGAATCATTACCTGTGAAATGTCAGGGACGTTGCTGAATAAGTATACT